GTGAATGTTGAATTGTAACCAAATTTCAATATCAACATGGCACTTGGCATTAACAGTAAAACACAAAGTTTTTGATGTTAAATCAACAGAGAAAACTCCTGAACATAAACAAAATGATCAGAATGTATAATAAGGATAATAGTATAAATAAAAATCGACGAATCAGCCTATCACCGCCCTTACACATTCACCACTCCCCATTCCACGCACAGATTGTTTAAAATCGACGAATCAGCCTATCACCGCCCTTACACATTCACCACTCCCCATTCCACGCACAGATTGTTTATGGCTTACCCCGTGTTCGCAGTCTCCCGGACGACGAAGATTGTATACGCCGTCGGACCAATCACGTTCAAGATCAGCGGGGCTTGGCCGCGGTTCTCGAACGCCATTGGCCAGATTACGCAGAATCTTCGTCTTCAGGAAAGCTGTGAACACGGGGCTACATTTTTCGCTATGGTAACAAAAGCGCCAGAATTGACTACCAGAATTGGATCCGAAGGTCAAATGGGTCACGTGACTGTGCAGTTCAGATGGACAACACCTGCTAAAAGCTATGGAGACTGCATCTACGCACAGAAACGTAACTTGCTTTTCGATGGTGACTTCAATTTGGCACATAACACTATATAGTTCGTTTTTCTTAAGTTTGCCCCTCACTGTAAACGTCTTTTTGAACACAGCACGAGAATTGCTAGCTGAATTACTGAGAAAACTGATTGGCGCACATTGATTTCACCAGATTTCACAGACGATCAATTTTATCAAATTTGTTTACTATTTCACAGACACATAGCTCGTAGTTGCCCATACCTACAGTTCCACAGTGATAGACGACTTCTCAGGAATTATGTCTGAACTAATTAATAAATTGCACGGCGTTTAACATTAACGTTACATCGTTTGTGCTCAAAACTTATTTTGAAAATATTGTTCATATATCCAATACATTGTGCGCCAACCAGTTTTCTCAGTAATTCAGCTAGCAATTCTCGTGCTGTGTTCAAGAAGACGTTTACAGTGAGGGGCAAACTTAAGAAAAACGAACTATAGTCCATTTTTTTTTTCAAAAGGCTCATGGCCCGAAGTATTATTTTGGAGTTGGCACGTGCGAGACGCTAGAAAATAACGCAAGCTGAGATGAATTTCTCGGCCATTTTTGAAAGATAAGCACAGTGCAACGGAGCAAGTTGTTCAATTTAGCTTATAAATCGTGTTATATTGCAGAATGTTAGTAAATTCATATATTTGAGCGGTTGAGCCATTCTGTTGAATTGGCATGCTAATCTAACGTCACTCCTAGATTAACCTTGATTCCACAGCCAGGCCATCACTTGAGAAATAACAAGCGGCAAATCCTTAAATAATCAAGACAGAACAATATTTTTTGCTACAAGGCTCTGTCGGGCGCCAGAATTCTGAACGGCAGGCTCACTCATCATGTCATTGTTAGCTGCTGAAGCTGGTGACGTTCCATATTGTTGTCTTACATTGTGTTCTCGCATGCTACGTACAAACTTCAGTAGTCTTTTTATGAGTCTTTCCAGATTTAGTAGGCGCTTACCCGACTTCTTCCCAATGCAGGAATCGATCGATCAACATTGTACTAGATCGACAGATATGCTGGCTCATGTTTCTTTTTGTACTCAACAGAAATAAACGTAAAACAAAATGCCAATCCGTGTGTTACTTTTGTAGGTCTGCAAACAAGTCATCCACGTAATCATCTTAATCATTTGTTTAGTGCCTATGGCTAGACCCCGTGTGGAAGCATTTTCGATTCACGGTTCCTCATTATGAGTCGTATGTCTATACTTCTCTCAAAACTATCGCAAATCAGAGACCAGCCGGCAGCCGACCAGTCTGATTTCGAAACGTGCCAAGCCGGTGTTCATTGATTTCTGTCAAAGCCATCACTTTGCACGTGACAATTCTAAAATCGATTTTCGGGCCGTGCGCCTTTTGAAATAAAATGGACTATAACTTTGGTGATGATCGAGCGTTTAGATACTAGACAGCGAACTCAGGTGTTGCCTCGGAATGACGGGGAATTTTTCGGCATTTTTTTTTAGGGCAGGTCAAAGGTCAGGTCACTAGAGGTCATCAAAGGTCATACAATTTGTCTATTTCAACATTTTTCAACAAACACCCGACGCATAACTCGGGAACCAAGAGAGCTACAGTGCCACGGAAAAGCGCATCGGTAGCTCTTTTACATGCCCTTCTGAGCACTGTTCTCAGATTTGACCTTAGGTAAACACTAAACAGTTAAGCCTCCAGAAGGCAAAAACTAAAATTAAACGTTTTTACAATGTTTTTATAAATATTCGCGAAAAAAAAAACTTTTGGGGGGGGGACGTGAAAACGCTCTCTTCCCAGCACGGCGCGGGCTAACATTCTGGCTGTGGCTAGTGCCCACATAGTCCCGGTCCCCATTGGGACATTACCCATGAGACCCACAGCGCGAGACCCTGAGGAATGCACCACGCCCTGGGAAGTGACCTGCTTCCTCTACGGGTGTGGTTGCTCGTAGTCGTATCGACAGATCGACAGAGAACCCCGGAAGGAATATCTCCTCTCCCTCTCTCTCTCTCTCTCTCTCTCTCTCTCTCTCTCTCTCTCTCTCTCTCTCTCTCTCTCTCTCTCTCTCTCCTCTCTCTCTCTCTTTCCCCCCTCTCTCTCTCTCCCCCTCTCTCTCTCCCTCTCCCTCTTCTCTCTCTCATATCTGTAGCGGCGCGTAGCGGTGCACCACCCCGCTGTCCCGGACGGCGCGGCTGCAGCCTCCTCTCCTCACCGTGGGTGGGAGGGTCACCGGCCGACGCTCTGCAGTTCGCGGGTCACAGCACGACCTGCTCGTGGCACTTGCACGGTCGTTCTCACCCGCACCCAGCGCTATTGAGAGCAGCGCCCGACCGCCGCCCATACCCCGCCTTCCAGCTGACCTCAATTGTTAGTTGCTATGTTGATGGTGCCCGGCTGCATTGCAAAGGGAAGAGAGACGAGGTTAGGTTATCGAATGTCCACCGTCCAGTTACCCTGTTGGGCTCATGTGACACGCCACTGTCTGTTCATCGTATGCTCTTAGGCCATAACTTATATGCGCTAGCCTTATAGTGATTATAATCACTATTCAACCCAATTAAAATGATTTTAAGTATGATTAATTGAGAGCATGAATCATTCGCGATTCATTAAAAGTGCTTGAGGGAATGGCTACCTTTATGGTCTCCACACGGGTTGCTGTGTGCAACTGGTATAGATGCCACCGTGCTACGATTACCAGACGTCACAATCAAATCAAAATATGCACTCTGACTCGTTAGTTGTCATTGTGCTGATTCTCGAGAAGGGGACAGGTCCGGGAGGAGGAGGGGGCGAAGAACCCCCGTCGCACCGGCTCGGGTCAGTGGTACCACCCTCCCCCCCCCCTTCACAGCGGGGGGCTTGTTTTTGCGGCCTCACCACGGACAGAGCCGGTCGGTGGGACGGCGAGATGACCCAATTAGCCTCATTCGCCCGTAACACGGTGCCCAAGTCATGCCTCTCATTTTTAAATTGGTGTAAATTAGCTAGTTCCGTAGTGAATGAGTGACGACTGTGGGGAATGCCGCTCTTTGTTACGGGAAGGGTAAAAAAGACTGTCAATTGGTCGTACCCTACCCAAGATTACTTTACTACTCGTACCCTACCTATAAGTAATAAGTATGTATTTCCACCGAACGTTATGCACGTTTATCGTGCCGCGCCGCGCTTTTGCAGATCGGACCACGAAGCATGCGGTATAACATGGCCGATGAACTGTAATATTAATAACAAGTTTGATACCAATAGCACGGGGAATTACGCTGTCTTCTCTGCGGACGCTTCTGTCAGCGAATTGGGCACCGGTCGACGATCGGACGGAAGATTGATTATCGCTCTTCAGCTCAAAGGTGCAGCGTAAAAGCAAGATATAATAAGATTTACAGTAAGCCTTACTAGCACAACTGTGCATTACGATAACTAACATACACCTGCACAACTTTAAAAATGTAATGCTGTGCAGTGTGCTCTTGCACACATGCATATGTTGATCCACTTTCTTTACATCCGCGTTTGCTTTGAATAGCTCACGTTCAGGAGATGCATCTGATACTGCCGGCCAGCGAAATACTGTCATGTTTTCGATTAGGCGAGCGATAAAAGTTAACCTCCTTAGTGGATGGGCTGGGTCGTGATCAGCGGTATGCAATAAAGGCTCAGCGAGGGCGAGGTCCGAGTCGGTCCGACAGCTGGTCCTACATTCTCCTGAGTCGGCTGATCCGTGACCGGACAGAGTGAGGCGCCGTGTCGTGGAACGAGAAAAAAATGTTGCTAATGTGCTCAGTGTTGTGCGGAGAGAGCCGGTGTAGACTCGACCCCATAAACTCTTTCGGGCCTCAGAGCGCAATAAAAATGAAGATGGCAGTGAATTTTACATTGCATCGTAATATATAAAGAATTAGCAATCGCACTGTGCCTAAGAAAGGTACTAAAAAATAATAATAAGGAGCAGCACTCAGTCGATCATCATCTATTTACGAGATCAGTTACCTACAATAGTTGTATGTAGTCGTTTGGGTGGTGGTCCCACGTCTTTTTGCTGTAGTATTTGTCCTGGTGTACATACGCTGACCCCGAAAAGCATCGGCCGACGTGACCCACCGCATAAAAATAGCAGGGGACGCATGAAAACGTTTAAATGGCAGGTGAATGCCGATTTTGGGTCAGTCACCACTCACCAGTAAATTCCTATCCCAGCAGGATGCCTTTTGAAAGAAGGCAACGCTTCCCGGAAAACAGCTTTGTTTGTCAGTAAGTGCTGAATCCTTCCCGAATAGCCTTTCCCACGGGAGGGGTATGGTTCCGGGGTACGGGGAGTTTAATTTATGCGGCCCAATCGGCGCAGGTGTCGCATTGGTAGGAGAGGTAACATTGAACTGGGCGGAGCGTTTGAGGGTCAGCAGGGCGGGACATTCACGGATCCCCTTGAGCCGACTAGAAACGCCAGTGTGAGAAGCCAGGTCGGCGGTATCATATAGGCAGTGTATTGCGGGGGACAAGATGGAGTAAATTTGGCCGATCAGTCGTCCGATCTGTTTCAGGAGTGGAGCGGGCCGCAAGATGTCATGGTGGGGCGTGCTTGTTCTTCTCATCATATTGGTGTTCGCTGGACAGACATGCAGTGCCTTGGAAGGTGAGGCGTATGATTAATATCTATGTATGACTGGGATGGCAACTGCTTGATAGTCATATTTTGAGGCATAGGGCTTGGATGGCATCGCATTTTTTACAGTCCGTTCCTATAAGGATATTTGGAGTTTGTCGTCATTCAATTGTAACATCTCTTTCGCTTTTTTGGCCCACGTTTTTAAAGTAACATTTTTTATTGTCCATATATTTTTATTTTGTTGACCCGTGCCGTGCTTGGGGGTCGTTTTTACGCCCCCCCCCAGTTTTTTTAGAATATGCCACTGTTTCTAGCACACCTGTTTATAAATCTATCTGCACATGTTGTGAAAATCTTAGACCCGGGTCGTCCAAGCCTCAAGGTCAGGTCACCAGGTCACGTCAAGTGACCTTACCTCATAAAAAGTTAGAATGCTCGCTATACCTAAACCGACTGAACGATCGCTAGCCTTCGGCGATTGATAAAAGTAACAGTATGTATAAAATATATATCTCGGAATTTTGATATCTGTGACCTAAGGTCAGGTAAAGTTTGCGACCTCTCTTTTACCTGTATATCAATGGGAGAAAATTGAAATGCGCCCCTTTTGGATGAACTTCGTTCTAAACACTCTCAAACATTAGTTTATGGGTAAAAATGACACACTGAATCGGAAAATTGCACCCGTGACCCCTCTTTGTGCCCCTGAGGTCATCTCAGGTCATGAAAGGTCCTTAGCAGTTTTTTGACAATAAAATAACTTTTGATAGAGACATGCTAGAGCGGCGAAAACACCTCATATGTGTCCAGCTCGAAGCTACGGATCGACTGATATGCAACATTACCTTTCCCGGTCAGGTCATAACCTTGACCTGAGGTCATATTTCAGAGTGACCTTTCAAAGTTTTGTTTTTGTTCATTCGACGCGTCTCGACGAGAGAAACACGATGCTGGCAAAAGTAATGTTGTGACTCTCTTGAGTCAAAAGTTATAATGGGGAAAAATGTTTTTCGTAAGAACGTTTTTTTTTTTAGTTTTTGTCCTCTGGAGGCTAAACCGTTGACCTGAGGTCAAATCTGAGGACATGTAGGCGAAAGAGAATTGAAAGAGCTATCGAATCCGGTTTTGCGCGGCGCTCTAGCTCTATTGGTTCCCGAGTTATGCGCCGGGTTTTCGAAAATTGTTGAAATAGGCAAAATTTGACCATTGATAACCTCTGGCGACCTGACCTTTGACCTGACCTAAACAATGGCCGAATTGTTTTCCTCATTATTTTTTAGGCTCTTTCGAATGCCGCTTACCGCGTGTCTCTACGTGGCCCAGGAGCCGATTTAGACGGGGGGGGGGGGCGTGAAAACGCCCCTTCCACCACCCCACCCCCCAGCACGACACGGAAAACTCGGACCACCAGTATGGCGGGGGTTAATCATCAGCATATTCACAAACAACGTTTATTGTCTTGCCTTTTCTAGCAGAGTAAGGAAAACAGAACATAGACATTACCCACTCCGTGATATACTCATTATTCTACTCGGTGATTTACCCCGCGTTCGATGTCTCTCGGACGACGAAGATTCTACGTCGTCCGGCCAATCACGTTCCATAACCGCAGCCGAGCCCCCGCTGACCTTGAACGGGATTGGTTGGACGGCGTAGAATCTCCGTCGTCCGAGAGACATCGAACGCGGGGCTAGTCATTATTTCTCCATGTTTCGTCCATTCCTTACGAACCTTCGGGACCGGTTGTGTTTTACGTTTTGGCTCATATTTCGGCACGTATGTCCGTCTGGCACATCTCTAACTCTGTACTCTCCGCCAGGTGACCTCGGTGGCCCGGCTGACCTCGGCTGCCCCGCTGCTGACCCGGCGCTCACCCTCCAGTACCGCGCTGCGCTGCTCTACTTGCACTCGGAGGGCGTCCGCCGGGTGATCCAGCTCCAGCGCCATCCCGCGCGCTGCCCCGCTGTCTCTGATGACCTGACGACCTCTCTTCTGCGAGTGACGGGTCTGAGGAGGCTGGGTGAGCCTCTAGTGGTGGCGGGAGGGGAGGACTGGATCCGGCTGCACCGCTGGATGAAGCAGGCTGGAGAGGATGTGGCCGTACTGGCACAGGACGCTCAACTGCTGGAGGAGGGAGTTCGGAGGAAGGAAGCAGAGGGATGGAGGAAGGCCATCTGGTTTGCGCCGGGAATAGATGTGAGAAGTTCAGCCGATAAACGGTTCGGTCGTAAATTCAAAATAATTACCACCAGTATTGCGGTGTCGGGAAGAAATCTGCTTTCGCATGAGATGGAGACCTCAGAGGCGTCTAATTTGTTTTTCGACCCTGGCATAAACGGCTTCGGCTACAACATCAGCAACAGCTGGGACGTGTTGTCGCAGAAAATCCACCAGTCTCCGACCACCGGCGGCGGAGGGTCTGCGGAGGCCCCTGCCGGCCCCGTCTCAGTCCTGGTGGCGCGCTGGGCGCCGGCGCCGCCGACTCCGGCTCCACAACTGCTGGTGCTGCGCGCCTCTCCGTGGCTGCTGACCGGCGTGTACCGTCCTGGACAGACCTCTGTCGAGCCGCCGCCGGCGCTGATTGTCCAGCGCAGTGAGCTGCGGAGCCGTCTGTCGGCCGCCGGCTGCGCCACCTGGCGGGCGGAGCTGACCGGAGCCGACCCGCTGACCGGGGAGCCGGTGAGACGCTCCTACACCGAGCGCTCTCTGCCGGCGGTGGCGGCACTGCAGGGCGCCGGGCCGCTGACGGTCGCCGTGCGCTGTCCCCGGATTGGCACCACGCTCCGCTGCACGGTGGAGGCGCGCCGGCAGAGCTGCGCCTGGGGCAGGGGCGGCGCCAGGCGGCGGAGTCGGGAGGTGCGTCCGAGCTACCACCGCCCTGGGCCGGCCCGTTGGGCTCCGCGGAGTCGGTCTCTGAGAGCTCAGCGCTGGATTGGCGGACGGCGAGTCTCTGCTACTGGCCCGCACCGGCCTGGGACAGTTATTGCGCGCCGATCGGGGAATGCTCACCAGTTCAGCCCAGCCGACCGACCTCATCCGTCTCAGCGTGTCCACCGGTCCGGAGAAGCCAGCTCCGTCGACAGCAGCGCCACCTACCCCGAAACCCCCGATCCTGCCGTCTACCCTGCCGAGAACAGATACTCAGCCGGCCGTAGCCACCCGCGTCCCGTGGCGCACCCTAGCGTCCACCGCAGCGCCACCTACCCCGTGCGGCGCAGCAGCAGAGGCTTCCTCAGTCACTTCCACCGGCGTCACCGGATCACCAACGACATCATGCTGGCGGTATCTCCAAACTTCATCTCCTGCGGTGGGGCGTTCGGGGGCTGTCTGATATGCGCCGTACTGCTGGAAACCTCCAACTCCAAGGTGCCGAAGGAGGCGTGTATCGGTCCGTGTGCGGTGGGCTCAGCTATCTCCTGTACCGGTGCCATGGCGAGCCTGCATAAAGAGATGGTGAAAGCGCGTCAGAAGATGTCCCGTCGGCGCGGCAGACTGTATTAAGGATCGTTACGTTCAACGCTGACGTGATGTTACTCAATCCAATCGGTGACGTTACTTGTTCCGTGTTCGTCGATCGTTTTGGTGTTTCTTTACGGGATCGAGTGGCCTTCAAGTAGCAGGTGAAGCGAGACTGTAGTTCCTTGTCATTTCTCCAGCGTACTAGGGCTGTTCTGCAGCTAATTTCTTTCGAATTGCAAGATCGGCATTCGGCAGGACTTGCTGTCATACACGATGGACGGTGGCGTTTGTTCTTCGTGCTACGTTTGGACGAGAGTATGGACACATCGTGTGTGCTCTGTGACTGTGTTGTCGGTAATGTAATAAATGATCTGAGCGTCATTTTGATATCCATAGTTTATCCCATAATCAGTCATCAGGGAAGACATGCTAAAACGATGAAAATCCATCTCAGATTTGTTCGTCAACAATGCGGATCGATTGCTGTGCAGGATTACTGTTACCCTGACTGTTTCCGTCAGGTTATGACCTTGAACCTAGGTCAGATTTTCAAGCTGACCTTTTATTTCAAGAGTCTCATCAGATCAAGGTTATTTACAGATTAAATGATAACATATGCGACAAATTTCGATGAGACGGACACAGTGCTGTGTGCAGTGATTGTAGAAGCGTTTTTTAACCCGCGCCCCGTAGGGGGGGGGCCGAAACGGCCCCCCCTGTCCTTTTCGGTCGATATCTCCTAAACGGCTGGAGATATCGCCACCAAACTTGCAGGACCCCTCCGGGCATCAATTTTACACATTGTGACCAAAAATTTTACCAGAGGCTATGATAGGTTTGCCACAAATGACGTCAGAGTGACGTCATGTTCTGTCATTTTCGACCGAAAAAAGACCTTCGCGAGAAGACCTGTCAGGACTACAGCTTTGAAGATACAGAAAAATGATCAAGACATAAAAGGTGTAGAATTGACAGGGCTACAAAACTGCTATCTCGAATTTTTGAAATTTTTGAGTTTTGACCCCCAAAAATCAAAAAAGCATTTTTTTTGGATATACTCGCCAAAAAATCCAAAAAGTTTTTTGAGTTTCGAAAAAACCGGAATATATGTGATAGTGCCTTTCGTCTTCTATCTACATACCAAATTTCAGATCGATACCTCGTTTTTTGGCCAAGTTATAGCGTAAAAACTGTTCAAAAATGATGACGTCAAATTTTCAAACTCAATTTTTGGCAATTCTAGAACTCGTAGAGCAAAACAAAGACCACCATTAGACTCCCCGTGACGAGCTGCATCGAATCAATACCCATTTTATGCAAAAATATCAACTTTGAAATTTGACCTAATTTGACCTGACCTTGACCTGACCTTCACCAAAACGTGACCTAGGCTGGCCCCAAAGGCTGCCTAACCCACATAATCGCATTTGTCATGTAAAATGGACCATAAAACATGTATCACACGACACATTCATATTGTGACCCCCGGTGACCTGACCTCGCTGTGACCTGACCTGGTATCAGTGACCTCAGATAGCAAAGTATGTGTTTGACGAACAATGTACCATCGATGGTTTTCAATAAATTACCAATTTACTCGCTTTCACAGCACATTTCTTGAATTGCCTGTGAACGGTGAAAATCTGACCTTTGACCTGACCTGTGACGTCATCGGTTTGACCTAGGTCAATGAAATTTGGTCACAAGGTAGTTCCCGGGTGGGGCTATCGAACGCCGTTTGAATTTTGAAAATCGGCCGGTAACTTTCCGAGATCTTAGGGGGGGGGCCGAAACGGCCCCCCCCCTACGGGTGGTAGGGTCCGCCGGTAGCCCTACGGGGCGCGGGTTAATGATGTCCATGTTGACGGTATTTGTCCTCTGGAGGCTTAGCCGATAACCTTAGGTGAAATTTGAACATAGAGGGTATTTATCGCAAGAGAGCCATGGAATGCTTGATTCTCAATGTTTTATCATCCAAATGTTGTATGGTCAGACACGTGCGCTATTGAATTTCAAAATACCAGTGACGTCATTATTATGGTTTTATTTGTAGACTTGCTTTCTCATTTCGAAACCTTGAGTATTTGTCCTCAATTCGGCGCCGCCACACAAAACATAGCAAGCACGGCGTGTTGTGAGTGTTTTGGAGGTTATATGTTATTACGGCCTCTTTTTGGCAATTTATATGGTTTGTATTTATTTAAGGTCCTTTGCTTTGCATATTTCATGTTCTTTATGATCATACATTGCTCTCTAACTTTTGGAGCTTGGTTAAGAGAAAATTGTGATGTCTATCCAAATTCCAAACATAACAATTAGGTTGTTTTCAATGCTATTTAGCTATTCATTGGTTGAAAATAATTATTTACAACATTCATAACTAGGGCATTTGATATAAACTTCAACTATGTCAAACCTGGTCATCATGTGCCTTTATACTGATGCTGATACGCTTTGAAGTAAGTAACGTAAATTTTCAGCCCAATTTGTTTTGTCCTGCATCAGTTGAATCAACACATTTACTGAATCCTTGGCCTGGCACCCATGCAATCAAGGTTTGTGTTTGTGTTTTGTAGGTCATAGAAGACAGCTGGTTTAGTTGTGGTTGTCATGGCCACATCTTCCAGTGTCAGTTCGGACATCAGCAGAAGAAACCCACAGGACGACTATGAAATAATTCAGCGTATTGGAAGTGGAACTTATGGAGATGTCTATAAGGTATTTTAACTTTATTTTTATGTGTGAATACTTAACAGTATGAAACCCTTTTCCTATTTGTACCTAATGAAGCCATTGATTTAGCTCAAGTTTATGTGGTTTTAGGGCTTATCATTATTTTTTTCTTTTAAATGTTATTGCCACTCCAATATGGGTGCTGCACATCTACAATATGGGCTCTACACATCCAATACTTTGCGCCTGGGTGTTGGGGAGTATTACCTTTACCTATTTTGTCCTTCCCCTGACCTGGCCATTGCCCTCAGGCTACGAGACTGTCCACCAATGAGCCGGCCGCCATCAAGGTCATCAAGCTGCAGCCAGGTGAGTGCTGGTTCTGACCTGCCTTGGTCCCAGCTAAACTCTGATTAACTGGGCACAGGTGACCTCAGAAGCATGGGTGCCCTAAGATCACATCAGACTTTAATTAGCAATTGGGTCCTGTGAACTGTTGAGTGTTGGGCTGTCTCCATGAAGAGTCTGGTGATGTGGACCAAATGGCTACATTTTCTAGTTTTATGTGTCCACTGTCTCAGCACATATGCAGATGTGCCATGACAAGCTCACGAAAAATAGGGTCATCTTTTGAAGCACTCCTGCCACATGGTGTTCTCTACATCTGTGTCACATGTGACTGCTATTTGCTAACAAGGTTCCATCAAATTATTAGCATTATCATCTGGTCTTGCTCTGCTGGGTGCCTCAATTGCCAGTTGACTGACACTTGCTTCGATCTCGTACACGGGACAGTCATTCACCTTAGCGTTGCTAATTCATCTTTCATAATTTCACTCATTTTGCTCTCGTAGACATCGAGAAATCATTTAAACGTGGTTTTGGGGAATTTGCTCGGCTCACACAGATCGCAATGGTAGCCACTTTTGTAGATGTTTCCCGGCGCGGTGCGTCGTAGCCTCTCAAGGACACCGGTTTGCATGCTGCTCCTGACGCGTGTACGGCCGCGTGGCGTGGCGGTGGCTTTAGCCGCAGATCGACATTCTGATCTCGAGTTTTGCCGGCTCGAGGTTCGGTCTGGGGCAACGTGGTGGCACCACGTGCACGTAATTTGGAATGCTGGTAGTCAGTCCAACACAAAGTCCATCCGTGCTATTTTAGCTTTCGCATGATCGTTGTCAAAAATCGTGATGTGACATCGTCCCGTATCACGACATTTGGAACGGAAGCGGACGCAGTCATTTTCCGCCCGTAGCTGGACCTTGCCCTAACTTACGCTAAGTTTGTGACACATGCGGATCGACTGACTTGTCACGATCGAAACCCGGGCCGTAGCTGATGCCCGTGGATGAGCCTGGCTTTTGGTGAACGACGTTGCATTATTCGGTTATTGTTCTCTTTAGTCACTTTCTTTAGTCACTGTTCGTCGAGGATTTAACCCTCGCCCATGTAGGGGGGGTGGTGGTGCAACCCCCCCCCCCCCTGAGGCTTTTCGGAAATAGTGCAAAAACGGCGGCGCGCAGCGCCGCCAAATTTTGGGTACCTTATGGGGCAAACCTTGCGCATCTTTTGATTAAAAAAAATTTGACCGGGTCATGTCAGGTCACGGAGTTATGACGTCACAAAGGGAACAGCCTCCGGCCGGATTTTCACAAACTGAGTGCCAACGCCCGAGGTTTCCTGCCGGTGGTACGGACATCGGTTGATGGATCGTGATGAAACTTCCCATGCATGTTGGGGCAAGTATTGGCTATCATATGGTATAAGAAACTTGACCGGGTCAGGTCAGGTCACGGAGCTATGACGTCACAAGAGGAACAGCGTCCGGTACTATTTTTGAAAAGCGCCCGAACCACTATTTTGCTAATTCTTGTCACCTCAATGGGAATATGCAGCAATATTAGCTTCTATAGGGAGCAAATGGACCTCCCAAATCCAAAAATACAATCAGATTTCAAAAATTTAAATTTTGATTTTTCGAATTTCTGCCGCCGACTGTGACCTTGCCGACTTCCGGCGCTCCCAACGCGCCATTTTTAGAGCTAGGGAAACGAAATACATACCAAACGATAGAGAATTGATCAAGGAACACGATAGTGAAGGTTTCAAGTCGATATCCTCCCACCGTTCTGCCGCAATCGCCGCGGAAAGTTGAAAAAAGTCTATTTTTCCGAAAATTTGACCTTTGACCGGTCAAAAGTAGGTCAAATGTTGACCTAGGACCAAAAAATATACCACCAATCGCGAGATCTCGGCGAGAGCAATCCGTTGGTCTTTTCCGCTAAGCTCTACGACGCTCCGTTTTCAAACGCCAAGGGGGGGTCGCACCAACCCCCCCCCCCCCCTGCATGGGCGAAGGTGGCAGATCGCCGTTTACGGGCGAGGGTTAAGGAGGTCACCGTGGTTCAGATTTTCTTTTGCATGGCTTGTAAAGCACACCTTTGGGACTTGCGTGTCATCAAAGCTTCGTTATCTTCTCTCACCATTGGATATCGTGCAGTCGCTGCACTTTTGAAAATCCTAGGTATTGAATGTTCATCATTTGTAAGTACTTTTTAGCGGTTCACTGTTCATTGATTGACGTTTCCATCTTCCGGTAACGAAGGTATAATGCCATCATTATAACACCGTAGCTGGGGGGCTAGCCTTATTATCATTATCGATATAATACTGAATTTCCTGATATCCATATATGGAAAGATATCTACCTAAATCACTCTGTTTAGGTGCAGATTCACTGGATCGTCTTATGCTGTCTCCACGTTCCTCGCCCTTTCTTCCTCTCCTCCACCCTGCCTCTCTGTCTCCGTGCTGTGTTCTGCTCTGACCCACCTTCTGCCCGGGTGCAGAGACGTGGACCCGACTGTCGTGGGGGCCGGTCGCCGGGGCGCCCAGACCGGGTGAGCAGGCCGGGGCGCCCGTGGGCTGCCTCGGATACTGTGTGATAGCCCCGCCCCCCCCCCTCCCCTAGCGTGCCGCGTCGCCCCGTCAGCGGCGCGACCAAGCCGGATTTTCGTGTGTCCAGTGTGGCGCTTTGTCCCGTGATCGTCTTCCCCTTGTATTTAGACACCCCGGAGGGTTTTTTTTTACGGTCAGATTAGGGAATGGGCCGTAAAGAGCAGCTCATCGTGCTGATAGTTTTGATAAAGAGCGTTACTTTTCGAGCGTCTGACCTCGCGGGTTTTGGAAGATTTATGCGTTTGCAATAAACACCTAGATGCGATTCACCTAGCTTGCGCGTAGCCCCGTTGGTTTTGTGCTAGCAACTTTTTTAGGCAGATTCATTTACGAGCTTGCCGCGTATGACTAACAGGGTTATTCGTAACATATGACTACGCAGTTATGGTCATCTCGTTAAACAATAACAGCTTAGCTTTGTTTATGTCGGTTCATTAGGGATGCCTGAGCTTTGACTTGTCAGCCATGTGCATTGTGCATTGTGCATGACATAATTGCTGTGTAACATCTCATGCCATACCGATATCTTAAATATATTCCGCCTGTGTTGTGGCCTGCATAATGCATATTGCATGATCACTCGAGCGGCTGTTGTTTCATTTATCCAGCTCGTTAACACCGGAAATGAGTTTCTTCATGCAAAAGTTTCTTCATTTTTATTCCTCTTCCATTTTTATTCTTCTTAGAATGCACTTCCGATTTTCGACTGTCCATGGCATCGACATAGGGATTATGCTCGACGCACCTAAGTAAACTCTCAATAACGACTCCCGCTTGCCATTTTCCAAATGCAGCTCATATCGTCTGCTACCGACCGTTGTGTTTCTATCCCAGCCCGCTTGACTCCGCCAATACCTACTATCGTGAGTATGACCAGAGGTCGGTGTAAATGCGGCTGGTGACTAACACGCTGTGGCGACTAACAGCTGTGAAACCGATTGACGCTAAGGTGTGGCTCGACGGAGGGCGAGCCACCCTAGAACTAATGACGAGTCAACTAGAACTAACGGCGTGCTGCCTAGCTAGCCGTACCACTGTCATGCATTTCAGACGAGCTGATTCAGTTTGAATGCCATGTTGCACGCGAGTGGCGCCTGTCCTGTTATGTTCTTCCGAGCCCGCCGAAGGTTCAGCAGAGCCGCCTCACAGATGAACGTAACGAACCCCAGCACACGTTCAGACACGGGGCGGACTGACGAGCAAAGTGGGAGTGCTGTCCGGCGTCCGCCCCTCCAGCCGCTTCCGTGCATCGACGGAGTTCTCAGATCCTGCCGCGTGGTGACATCAGCCAGAGAAGGTCGACGCTAGTACACAGGGAGTTAGTCGTCACAGAAGACGGCGCCGGTGGATTTGGGATTCAATCATTGACCACCTAATACGCTCCAATATATCGGATACCGAATAGTGGTAGTGACGAGTAACCTGACTTTAACCTCTGTAAAGCGTTTATGATATTGATCTTTTTTATGTCGGCCATATTTACTGCCGGGCGCGTTGTTGGGTGACAATACTGATCGTTAAAATCCGTCCGCTGTGTGTCGCGTTATCGGGCCTCAGTGTCGCCGGCGCCTCTGTGGCCGCTGTGTGGCTGGTCGGTCTGTGTACAGAGGCGTGTGACGCAGAATAAAACAGTACCGGGATGGGGGGGGGGGGGGGGTGACGGACACTGACAATGACACTGACGGCTGCCCTCCGAGCCTGTGACGTCACGGCTCAATTGACGGTCGGCGCTGAGTGACACCGCGTGACGGGATGGGAGGGGGGGAGGGACGTTATTGCAAAGAAGGCTGCGGGTTGACATAGCCTCGTCGCACGCTGACACAACGACCAGCTAATGTAAATTAATGGATTTATTTTTAGTTCATTAACTTAGCAAAGCTGGTTCCCTGCCGAAGCCAAAACACCGCCATTAATTCAATTAGCAATCATTATTTTTATGTATCATCTATTTATTCACAATGTTATCCAATTACACCCGTTCCGACCTTTCACTCTTTTTGCTCGCCCGTCAGGTGACGACTTCAGCATCATCCAGCAGGAGATAGTGATGATGAAGGACTGCCGGCACGCCAACATCGTGCAGTACTTTGGCTCCTACCTCCGCCGCGACAAACTCTGGATCTGTATGGAGTACTGTGGCGGCGGATCGCTGCAAGACATTTATCACAGTAAGTTATAAACGGGATCCGACTAAACGAACGGGTAGTAATGTAGAGCGGCTGACACCTACATTTGGGGGTAGAGAAACGAAACATAGGCTAAGGACGTTGGTTCTGAGCGGGCTAACGTTTATCGAAAGACCCTAAAACTAAATGTGACTGACGTTTTCGGTGTACTGAACCTGGGTACTGAATAGCCGCGATTTTTCCGTCGAGTTGGTGGACAACCGTTTCTGGCTGTCGATCTGTGATCATCCTGTATGTCTGGCTGTATTGACCCTGCTCCTTTCTGTGTGTTTGTTTCAGTCACCGGTCCCCTGACGGAGCTGCAGATCGCCTGCGTCTGTCGAGAGACGCTCAGTGGCCTCTCCTACCTCCACTCCATGGGCAAGATGCACAGGGACGTCAAGGTAGGATGGAAACGTGACGACGTGCCACGTGGTAGAATGTTCACATGGTAGTCTGTTACTGGCTGGGATTTTTTTTTGGACTTGCAGCATGAAATGGAAATGAGAATTGAATGAGGCTGCTTGGATGTAGTCATTTGGAGTGAGATAATCCAAACCCGGGATAATTTGCAATACCCAGACTGACAGATCGATGTATTGCAAGCACCTAATGAATGTCTCATGCATATGATTTGACTTGCAATTGACCTGATTTTCTCCGTTGCTATGCATGCAGCATTTCCCTCCATCGGGCTCTCAGCAGTCTATCCCGTTCTGACCTCGGTTTGGGCCGCCAGGGAGCCAACATTCTACTGACTGAGAGTGGGGGAGTGAAGCTGGCAGATTTTGGCGTCTCGGCTCAGATCACCGCCACCATCGGCAAACGGCAGTCGTTCATCGGGACGCCGTACTGGATGGCGCCAGAGGTATGATACGGCGCTGGGGTACGGTGGGACCACAACCGGGGATGGTGCTCAGTCAGTGTCTTAGCTGTGTGGTGCTTGGCTAGTAGACATAAAACTCATAATGCACCAGCCCATGAGTTTTCTTTAAAGTTAGTTGTGGGAAATAAGCCATTTGAACGAGAGCAATATTTGACATGCAAGCTACATCAATATCAGATCCCAATCAGGGGCGTAGGCAGGGGGGGGGGGCCACTGGGCCATGCCCCCCCCCCCTTGGGCGCCGAAGGCGCCCTTTGCGATTGGAGGGCGCCGAAGGCGCCCTCCAATCGCAAATGCAATTGTGATATAATCGAATCGAAAAACAATCGCGACTGGAGGGCGCCCTCCAATCGCGAATGTGTTTACAGGGAAAATACGGATGGAGGGCGCCCTCGGAGGACGCCCATTCCAAATACGCCCTCCAAATACGGTTGGAGGGCTCCCTCGGGCGCCCTCCAACCACATTTGTAGGCTGTAGCTCTCTAAGCGTAACGGTGGTCGCCTATGTAAGCCGCTGTCCCGTAAATAAGCGCCCTCTCACCCGAAGGCGCCCTCCTGTAGGTCGCCACCCTGCTACACATTGCCGCCCTAATTCTGCTGATCGGCGTCCTCATAATTATTGGCGCTCTCCTACCTATTGAGCCCTCATGTGAAATTTTGAAGGCCGCCTTGCTCCCTTTTGGCACCCTCTTGTTCAGTGCCGCCCTCCTACCTATTGGTTCCTAGTCCTTCCTGTTGAATGTTAATCGGGGCCCTTCTCCTATTGGCGCCCTCGTGTAGATCGCCGCCCTCCTAACCACTGGCACCCTCCTGTTGATCACCGCCCTCCTATCCACTGGCACCTTCCTGTTGACCAGCGCCCTCCGCACAGACGCCCTCCTGTTCGTGTCATCCTCTTGAGCAAAGGCGCCCTCCATTGCCACCCCCATTTTAATCGTCACCCTTCCGCTCATTGGCGACTTCCAGTTGATGACCGCCCTCCCACCTATTGGCGACCTCTTGTTGATCGCCACCCTCCTATTGGTGCTCTCCTGTTCCTCGCCACCCTCTTACCTGGTGGCGCCCTCCTGTTGATTGTTGATCGGCGCCCTCCTACCTATTGGTGCCCTCCTGTTGATCGCTGCCCTTCTATCCATTGGCGCCCTCCTGCTGCTCGCCAACTTCCTACCTATCGGTGCCCTACTGTCGAAACTCGGGATGTTGATCGGGGCTCTTCTACCTATTAGTGCCCTCCTGTGGATCACAGCCCTTCTACCTATTGGCAACATCCGTTGATCGCTGCCCTCCTATCATTTATTTACTCCTTTGGCATGTTTTTCAACTTAGTCGTTTCAACTTATTGCACATAGTTGATGTCTTGCCTGTGAAAACTGCCACAAATGAACGTGCATTCAGCACAATGAATGAAGTATCTATACCTATCAAAACTATCTACGCTCTACGATGCATAAAACACGTCTTTGGTCTTAACGGATTGATCCTACTTTACGTGCATCATGGCATCTATATGGATTACGATTAAGTATTGTCAACAGGTTCGGGCGCAACAGCAGGCATCTGAAGTTTCGGTGATTGAAACTGGTTATGTGGGTACAGTGTACACTGTATGCATCTGTGAGAAGGCTATGAAGGCTGGTCTGAGGTAATTTGGATGATGTTTACGCATCTCGCGCTCCGGTATCAATCCGATACGGTGATCTGGTGCGTAGATATGCCACCGCCAATAAACTTTTATACATCGACACCCATGAGCCAAGCTTTCTGTACAGTTTGTGTGGCAGCGGCCCGACCAAACCTTAGGTATTTTTTACACCTTCAAATTTGGTAAAAGAGCGAGAGGAGCTTTGAACAGTGATCGTATAAAAGGCGTGCCTAAAAAGCGGAGGAAAAGGTTGTTTTCAAAAATTTCGCGCGCCTTCGGCGCAGCATTTCAAGAACACTTGACCTTTTGTGACCTGGAGTATAAAGAATACACACGATGCAAAATCAATGCAGCACGACCTATACGAGGTTACGCAAAAAAAACTGGTGGCATGGTAAAAAACGCCTCCCAACCCCCCAACCCCCACTGAGCGATTTTTTATCTCGCGACCGTATGGCGCCCTCCTTGGGTGAGGTGGCGCCCTCCAAACCCTTGGCCCCCCCCCCTTCGCGATTTTCTAAATACGCCGCTGATCCCAATGCAAGTGTGACCAGCTGCTTTTGTCTCGCTCGACCGGTCTTTGCCGAACACCAGCGGCCGTTGGGCTAACCTCAGCCTCTGACTCTATCCGCCAGGTGGCAGCCGTGGAGCGCAAGGGTGGCTACAATCAGCAGTGCGACGTCTGGGCGGTGGGTATCACGGCCATCGAGCTGGCCGAGCTGCAGCCGCCCATGTTCGACCTGCACCCCATGCGCGCCCTCTTCCTCATGTCCAAGTCGGGCTTCAAGCCGCCGCAGCTCAAGGACAAGAACAAGTGGTCGCCGACGTTCCATAGTTTCCTGAAGGTGGCGCTCACCAAGAACCCGAAGAAGCGGCCGACGGCCGATCGACTGTCACAGGTCAGTTTTGGTCAGCTGATGGTGAAATAGTTATGATCTGAAATATCGCACAAAGCAGACGTATTTGTGTAGACATGGCCGATTCAATTTCATCATTCATATTTAGTAATCGATAAAGTTTATCCGACAAATTAAAATATATTATAAAAACGGTCGAAAATCAATAAGGACAAATAACATAATGCTCGCTGCGCAGCTGCTCGTTCGAAGCTCCCCGTTGCTACACAAAAATTAACACAATCCACAATTATAAATTTCGTGGCGAACCACGCGCCACAATAAACGTTTAACACTTCTAATAAAATGAACAAATATTGAGCTGTGTTTTGCACCGCCTACATTTGCATCTGCTTTGGCATTAAAAATTATCAGGATGCTATACTGTTGATCGAAGCGCTTGTTATTTGCCTTTGCGGTCTAAACGTCCAAGCATATGGACCCTGCCAATCAAGCGTGACATTTGTTAAACAGTCAACGCCTGCTCATAGCTTTTTGTTAGATTTGTAACCGGCTTATCCACACCCCGCTTTGTCCTCGTGTCTCCGCAGCACGCGTTTGTGTGCTGCGACCAGCTGGACCGTCGCCGGTTAATGCGGGAGCTGCTGGACCGGGTCCGGAACCCCAGCGGCCACTTCCAGGAGGCCGAGCCTGATGATGAGGGGGTGAGTGACCCGCGGGAGAACGGGGTGGAGTGACCGGGGGCTGATGCTCAGTACTGGAGTGTCTTGAAGGGCGTTTGGGGTGTCAAAATTAGTAAGAACTTCGGGCTAGTGTTTGATTGTCTCATAGCCGTGGACAATGGTTGATACTTGATGCATAGACCTCTGTACACTGGTGTACTGAGGTCTATGGTCGATGGTTTCCTTAGCAAAGTCAGCTAAACTGGTCTGCTCAAATCGTTTAATGGCTACAAAATGACCCCGCCATCTTCGCACCCCTGAGCCCCAACAAGCAAATCAAATGTTAGTGTAGTCACGTTCGTTTATTACCTCCTTTCTCATTTGTTTTCATTCGTTTCCAGGCGGTGAACAACGTGCCACAGCGGATAGCGTCCCGGCAGCCCCCGACCAAACAGCGAACCAAGTCGGAGCTGCACAGTGAGTGCGCTGTGGGAACGTAGGGTTATCGTAGGAGAATCCAAAACCGTCGCCATAGGCACGCCTGGCGGGTCACGTTGCCAGGCATGCCGCGTGCGATTGGCGGGCAACCTGTATCGTGTTTCTACTATTGTTAGAGCTTGTTTTTATGCTGCCATTGTTTTCCTGGCTGGATATTGTTTCATGAGTTGTTATGAAAATTGGTGTAACGTGAGTATGTTTTTTGTTTTCTCCGCTAGCGGTGTAAAGGTATTTTCATCTGTCTGTGTCCAAGCTCTTTTAGCTGTTCCATGACCAATAGCCTGCCCGGCGTCCCACTGTGAAGCCGAAGCGTGGACCTCCAGTGTAAACGGGTTATCCCTGTTCAGCCTACTATGAGACAAAGTACCCAAACCTGCACCCTCGTCTGTCCCCAGTGAGCAGCGTCAGTTTCGAGCCGCCGCTGGTCACAGAGATGTCCTCGGCGGCCGAGCCGGCGGCGCCTCGCAAACAGTGGAGGATCGCTGGCGTGGTGGTGAGTTACGTGCTGCTAGTCTGCTCAGGTGCACCGAGGGACGCTGCGTTCCTCTGATATTTCACCCATTGTATCATTCGGGCGAAAATGCCAGTTTTTATGAAATTCCGTGTGTGCGTGTATTGTGTGTGTGTGTGCGTGTGGGGGGGGGGGGGGAGGGCGGATGGGGGCTTCAGTGTTGCCGTTCTGCAGTTATGTAAACTATCAGCTGCAGTTATGTAAACAGCTGCAGCCATTGTCATTGATTAGCTGGTTTCGCATCGCTTCATACGTCCGGGTATTGTTCAATGTTCATGTTTGATCCTCCATTATACCTTTGTATACAGCAGGCTGTGAAATTGACTGTGGAATTCCCTGACTCATCCCTTCAACCTCTGACCACCTAACCGATCTTTCAGGATGACGATGACGATGACGAAGCTGAGCCCTCTGCGTCGGACGTAGCCTCTCAGTGGGCCACGCGTGACCCCGAGGTGGAGGAGGTCAACAGGTGAGACCCCTGCCCCCCCCCCCCTCCCGCGGGGGTCAGGCGCATGTGGTGATGGCTGCTGGGGCGTGCCGGACTGTGCGATTAAGCAGCTGCAGCGTCAGTGGTGTGTACGTGTGTGTGTGTGTATGGGTGTGTTTATGGTTGCGATTGTAACTGTACATGTGACTGGTAAAATGGTGAGTGGATGAGTAACTGGGCTTCAGTGGAACGTAGGAATAAGGAAAGCAAGGAGTTCGGCTAGTCAGATCAAGGATGCTTAGCTGGCTAGCCTAGCTAATTCAAGCTTTGCTGTTGAAGCGTTGGAGGGTGGTTGTTTCCCTGTTGGGTAGGCCTAATCACCCTCCGCTCGAGCAGCTGTCGTGCTACCCTGCTGTCGTACCGCGTGCTATCCGGCTTCTGGCGGTACCAGGAGCTCCCCACCGGTACGGGGAGGAACAATGCGCTGCGGGAGTGGACACAGATTGTATCCCAGCCGTGTGCGGGCCGGAAGTGGTATGATAGACTCTCTACGAGGTGTTCCTTGGAAGAAAAGACGGATGTCGAAAACAGACCATCTTCCCATGTCCCATCCAGCCGATGGGTTCGGATTGTATTGCTGGAAATATGCGGAAGAATCCAACTTTCCCTGCGATTTATCTTTACTTCAGGCGGTGTGTTCCTATTCTTTAGCTGGTCACGACGCGTATCGGCAAATCATCCAAAATTAACCTACCCTCGCAGCAGCTGCTGTTGTGGTATATCTTAGCTCTCTTCCAGTAACCAGCGTGTCCTCTGGTCTTAAACCCTCCCTTCCTCCTGAGAGCTTCTTGCTAGCCATCCATCTCGCATAGCTCAGCGGATGCGGGGATATCCACTAACTGATGGCGGCAGGGGCTGGCGCCGAGTAGTCGGTCCGTCTCCCGATGGCCCTATCCTGTCGATCTGAGAGGCTTTCAAGTCTGGTGACGGCCGACTGACTCCCTAAGGGGAAGGGCCTCGTACGGCTTACGGTAACAAACGCTCCAGAGGTGGCGGAACTAATGCAATGGAAACTGGATAACAGAAAAAGAGACTAATTGGTGTTTGGAAGACGTGCTATGTTATGTCGTGTTTTTCACGTTTTCATTCTTCTGTTTAGTGTCTGTTACTTTAATGTAATGATTTTATTTAGAGAGCTGATGCTAGACGGATAGCAATAACATTTGTCGGCACTGTAAAATAGTTTAATTGGCTAAAATCTTACTGTATGTTAATTTGGCTGTGATTTGCATCAATTGCATCAATTAATTGTGCTAAAACTTCGCTAGTAGATGGGTTTTGTGGCGTTTGTAGGCTGACCATGGCATTGTCGGTACTTTGGTCTCGTTTGTAATTTCCTCCTCTAAATAGTCTGATGCTTATCTTTTAGCATCGTAGTACTCTATCATCAGCATTAGACATCCCCTTCCCAATAAGGTCTTTGAACTAGTGCATCCTTTGAAACTTAACCTTAGTGTCATAGTTCCAACGTCAATTCGAAAGAGTTTGAGGACTTCCCGTAAAGCGAGGTGTCCAGCGGTTACTCTCTGAACCTCCAAAGCCATCGTCCCGTCCGCTACAGCCGTCTCCTCGCTCGCAGTCTGCCAATATCCCTCCCACAATAGCCCTGTCTCGCTCGCTGCTATGTCTCCGGCTGCCTCGCCCGCCGCCTCGCCTGTCTCTCCGCCGCCCGCCGTCTTCTCGGGGCCGCGCCGCGCCTGACACCGTCGCCTCTCCAGAGCTCGCGCCGCCGGCCACACCCTCGACTCTTCGCGTCCCGTCGGCAGCGGCGGCGGGGGTGGCAGCGGCAGCGACTTACTGAGCCGCAGCCGCAGCCTGACCCGCTCCGAGCAGTCGCCCGTGGGCCGCCGGCTGCAGCGCGGCCCGCTGTCGGGCGCGGACGTGCTCAACCTGTCGCTCAAGTACGTAAGGAGCTGAACCGGAGCGAGCTGCCCCCCTCCCCCTCCCCCCCCGAACGACCTGCCGATAGACGGTGTCGAGTTGGGGGTTGGGGAGAGAAGCGGGGCCGGGTGGGGGACTGAACGGACCCGCCGCGCGGCAGGTCAGCCGGCGGACGGCCTGGGCCTCAGCGGGGGCGGAACGGCCGACTAGCAGAGCTGAATTTGTCGTAAAGACAACTGAACGTGGCCAGTCGGAGCTCTTGGCCGAAATTTGTCGGCGATTTTGCAAACAAGCTGTTAAATTTCCGTTGAGTGACAGCTGTGCAAGAGTGGCTTTATATTGTTTCCTTGTTTCAGTTGATGTAACGACGTCAATGATGTAACGACCATTTGCATACTATGTTTAAACTATTTACACTGAGACCATAAGTTTGACCTTTACCAGCACATTTACATACCGTAAAGTGGGGCTATTTGAGACAGTATTTAAAATAACTATAAAATGAAGATCGTTTGATATTTGTTGTGAAATGTTTGCTCAGGGTGGTGCTGAATCGAGCAGTGAATCGCCTGAGCAAAAAATTAAGCATGAATATCAAACGGTTTTCATTTTATTACAATTATTTTAAATGCTGTCTCAAATAGCCCCACCTTACGGTACCTTCTTTGTCGACCATTTGTTTTCTTTGTTGCATACGAATTCAGCTCAACGTGCCTTTGGACGCACGTTGCAATGGTCTTCACCTGTAGGTGACGGCAGTATGGCTCATTGTTTCAACGTTAAAAGGTCATGGATTGATATTTGCCAGGTGGATGATAAGTGTGATCTTTGGTCTCATTAATTCGATCCACTAATTGGAGTGATATTTGCTTTCCAGTCTGACCCATCATTGTGCTGATCAATTATTAAATGCTGAATACGGCTAAACATGAAATGAAAAAGTCTCCTTTCGAATTGGATAAGGGCGATACGGCTAATGTGCTAATGTCGCAAAATGTCATTCAGGCAATCAACTTGAAGCCTTACACGAGAACTTTTCACAAAAGGCCACTTTTACACCTGCTCATGATGCCAGCTGGCCGTCCTGCTGCCGCTGACCTGCCGTCTGATAGCCAAACCTCTCGGGTCCCCGGTCATCTCTGCCCGGAAATGCGCTCGGTTCTGGTCGGCCCGACTGTTTCCGCGCTGTTCCGCCGTCCCTCCCGCGGCCCTCGACTGCCGAACAGCCCCCTGCTTGGCCTCTTGTCTCGTCCTCGCATAACGCGCCCCGTAGCTCCGTGTCGCACTAAATGCTGAGACGGCGGTGGCCCGCCTCATAGCGCAGAGCTCACAAAACTACGGACCGCGGATTCGTCACCCTGCAATGCGCTCATAGCTGGCTGAACACTGCTGGCGCTAATCAGTTCGCAATTAGCGGTGACGAATTCTCGGCCTGTGGCATTGTAATGCTCTGCATCTCGCATTCAGCGAGATTGAAACATTTTTCGCTTCGCTTTAGTTTTTTAGTTAGTCTGGTTTTGTCTTTTATTTTTGCCTGTTCCGGAGCTTCTTTTGGAAGTTTGTTATATTTTTTGTAACCTAACAGTTTTTAGCTTTGTGCTGGTATGTATGATTGTATGTATGTACGTATGTATGTACGTATGTATGTGTGGATGTCTGCTTGTGCATTGGCATCTGTATGGGACTGGCTTAGATTAGTTTGCCTTGCCACTGAAAGCTCCGTGATTAGTTGCTGATTGTTGCATTCATACTGCTGTTGATAAGGTAGTTTCCTCTGATAATTTGCATTGGTGCCTTGTGAACGTAATTCCTCAGCCGATATTTTGTTTGCCAGGCGCTTATCCCATCTGGTGAAACCGACATATCTGTGGCTTATTGAACTTGTAATCCGTAAATCGCATATAAGCACCTGAAGGGATACTGATATGGCCTCATAATCAGGAGCACCGCGGGTTTTAGCGGTAGTTTTTGCGCCTAGAAAGTTTAGTGTACTTCAGGCTATATTTTCGTCGTCTTAAGCTTTTAAGTGTTGAAGATGCGATCGACTTGTTGGTTCACAAGCCGGCCATGATCGTGCAAAATGGCTTCATCGTAGATCGATTAGTTTCTGAGACATAATCGGAAATGTAAAAGTTCAAAACCTACCGCTTAATCTCGCGAGAGCCGTACTTCAGACTGGTCAAACGGACCGAGTCAGAGACGCAAACATTTAGATCAAGTTTTGAGACCATAGACTGATAATCGAAAGGATTTGAATGTGATAATACGAAAGGATTTAGATATGGTCGGCGGAGGGGTTCCAGCCACCGTGCTCCCTGAGTTCGCTAGTGGCAGCCAGAATCACTGTCCTTCTTTGATACAGGAACGGCCCATCTGAGCTCGATTTCAAAGTTGATGTGAATGTCTCGCTTTCGTGACTGATCACTCAATTGATGGCAGTTATCTGCGATTTCGTTTCACTACTTCACTCGGTGAAATGAAACGCGGAGAAACATCCAGATGCCGTCTCACCTCAAATCGCGTCTCCCTTGTGGATGCAGTGAATTGTTATATCCATGTTACCAAACCAATTCAAGTAGTTCGTGCGAAATTAAATTGAGCCATAAGGCTGATACATTCATATTCAGTTACATTTCTGTGCTAAAATACTAAATGACACTATGCACATGCCTATCTGATAGTGCGGCTTTTCAAAACCAGCGAGTTGCACCCTGTGCCGCTGGGCAGCGCTGTCGGCTTTACCTGTGGGATACTGCGCCTGGCTGGCACGGTACGCCGCGGTGGGGACCGCCTGGGGCATGAGCAGGGTGTCCTGTCGCCTGTCCCGCCCGGCCCCGCCCGGTCCGAGGCTGGCCGAGAGGTGGCGTCTCGTCCAGCCTCGGACCCTGCAGCGGCGGGCGCCCCATCGGCGCTGAGTCGTTAGACCTGCCTTCTGTCGACAGGAGCTTGTTGCAATTCATTGACGACGAGTTGCAGACCAGGTAATTGAGCTCCGCGTGGCCGCCGCTGAGGTCTGGCTGTGCTGTGTGACCCGTGTCCAGGCTAAACACGACGTCCGCACGGCGGTGTCGGTGCGCCCCCGCTTGTAGAGTCGTGTCCTGCTTGCAGTGGTCGTGCAGTTGGCTTTTAATTATACTGGCTTCAACTAGTCATTATTGGATTTGTAGCAGTTAAACTCTGCCTAACGCTACTAAACGGTACCCGGGCTGAGGTTTCACTCGGCGTAGACGCTGTCAGTTTGTGTGGTCGCGGTGTTGGCTCCGTCCCGTACCGGTCGTGTTCCGCTGCTTGCGTCCCGTGAGGTCAGTGTGCGCGCCCTTTAACGGTGACCTCTGCCGACCCGCAGGGGTCACACCGGGCGCCTCTCCGACATGGAGCTAGCGTTGTCGCAACAGTGAGTAGCTCCCTCCCCCCCCCCCCCGCTATCTTTCCAGCTCTCACACTCTTTCTGCCTGCAGCGTTCTCTGGTGGCGGATCTATGGGCTCCTTCCTGGTGGTTCCTTCTCTCTCATATGCTAGCCTGCCTGACTTGAATGGCTACCTTATTCGGGACTGGCGGCGGCTTTGGTGCTTCTGTATAAACGCTTGTCCTCGCTTTTTAGCCCTGCGGGTCATATCGCTCGATGTTACACGCTCTTTTTTGTCTCTGTACACTGTCTGTTTGTTCTGTTCTGCACAGCCTTACCACTTGTATTTCTAGTTTCTACATCACCATCTCATTTATCATTATGTCTATGTGCTGATTCTTGTTGATAATTTGTATATTGTAACATATATACCTCTATCTTCTTGTTCATAGTCTAGCCACTGTTCAGGCCATGAACTGACTGAACAGTGAGAATGCGGGCTTCAACACTCACGTCTCACACTTGCTCTATATTCTGTCAATGGTCGCACCTGAGCTGCAAATATGTTGGAATAACGCACCAACTTTTGTCTGCTGTAGCTGATGCCTTCTTCTCCTTGTTAAACTTCAATCACATTTCTCGTATTTTTTATCTACTACAGTAAACCTTCAGTGCGAATAATTGCGGTTATATTTGTAGCACCGACCTTTCAGCCACCAAACTCTAGTTGATCGTCATGTTACACCATAATATGTATACAGAGGTCCATGGTTACACCCAACCACCCCCCATACACCGATTTTTACTTTCCGTTTCCTATTCACCGAATATTCTTGCTTGATTCATTTTCAGAGCCAAGTGCAATGGGCGTGTCATGTTTTCCTGTTCAACTGGTACTTTGCAGCTCCGGGTGCTGAAATTCTTCATCACTCGGCCTCACCGTTTTCAACAAGCAATTTACTGCTCTTTGGCCATAATTTGTGCCATGGATAGTCCGCTGTTTTTTTCATGTACCGTACGCAGAGCTCGCCACCGGCAACCGACATTTGCCCCTTGGCGGCCGAGCGTCGGATCCCGCTGCGCAGACTGTCCCTATAGATATCTGACACATACATGATATAATTTCACGGCCTCCAGGGCTGGGTCAGGGTAGTCAGGCTACGTATTTTCCCCCAAGGTAGAGATCACGTCCGTTGACGCATTTTGATCCCTTGGAGAGAGGTACCGATTTCCGGGTTACTTGTATTCAGTACTGACTTTCCAGAACGCAAATACACCAGCCCACCAGTGACCGCTGTTTCGCTCCCCCAGGGCGACCCTCACTGTCGAGGAGTCACGGACGGCGCTCGAGCGGCTCTCTGCTGAACAGGAACAGAATGGAAAGGACGTCTCGGCACCGGGTGAGTGTCAGAAGACGGCCTCCTCTGGACTGGAGGGGCTGGATGATTCTGTATGAGTGTTCGTTATTAGTTGGTGGGTGGTGGTGTTTTGAGAGACCGCGGTTGATGCCGTGATTAATTTTTCTCTGAAACCTCATACTGCCTCTTTAAAGGTAGTGTGCCACCTTTCAGTGATTTCCCATTTTATTTTTCCTAGGATAAGAAGCTTCTGTTTTTACCTAATATCGAAATAAAAAAATCAAAATGGGCCTAAAATAGTGCTTTTTTCGCCTAAAAGCTTATCGGTTTTCGACATGTATAACAACTGTAGTGGGCTGACCTGCAAACAGGCGTCGGCAACAATCGCGAATGCGGCGCACATGTGACAATAAACAAAGGTCATTATAGAGTACGACGTACGGGAATGAGTTATCAGCTGTCTAATCGTAGACAACACAATGTCGAATTTAAACTGTAAGCCTGTATTGGTATTGTTTCTTTAATTTGGCTGTCGAACATTAATTTATGGTTTGAAATATTATTTTATGTAAAATAACTGATATGAAACAGCCGTCTCTAAAGTTATGACCCCATCTCACCACATGAAAGTGGCAGAACTGACAATGATCAGCTGACGCATTTTTCTTGGCCGAAGTCAGAGCGCGCGGCCCGACGCACCACCACCGCACCACAAAGTATGAGCAGAAGCCGCGCCCAAAGCCATGGCCCCGGTAACGTGAGGTAGCCGAGTCGGGGCAGCGTGCGCTGACCCAAGCCGGGGCCGCGGCTTTGGGCGCGGTCTACCGCATCCCCGCGGGCAGCCCCGGACTATCACATGACACCGGGAGGACGCGCGGCCCCGGCTTGGGTCAGCGCACGCTGCCCCGACTCGGCTACCTCACGTTACCGGTGTTATTTCTTAAAGTGTCAATTAATTATCCCTATGAGGAGGATCCGTGCAGATTTCACATGAAATCCAACAATGATGGAAAATTATGAAAATGTAGAACAGTCTGGGTGAATGATGGATGAGGTGAAACGAGGTGAAAAAGAGGTGAATTTGTATCGACACTTGGCTTATAGTTTTACGAATTTCGAATACAGTCATTTAAAGTAACTGGTCCCTTTTACGATACCCGGCAAGAACAATCGTTAACAATGTTATTGACGTAACATTATGGTCCTCCGGGCCGGATCGAGTACCGTAAAATAACTGTAACCAGTTAAGGAATTGATTGACTGCGATTCGATAGGTAACGTAACTATGAGTGTACGATCGGCTTGCGGTGATAGGTCTGCGTCTGCAAGTCTCAAAACCCGAAGTGAGGCTGAAATGAGCTCTACGTCCACCACTCGCAGTTCGGTAAGGAGGCGAGCGCTCGTATCACAGCTCAAAGCCGAACAGGCGAAGCGAGTGGCAGACGAGAAGATTAAGGCAGCTGAGGTTCGTGCGAGGCTAGCAAGAGATGAGGCTTTAGCTGAAGCACGACAGGCAGCTGACCAAGCGGAGGTAGACGCGCTGGAGCTTCAAATAATGGAAGAAGAGGTTGGATTGCGAAATTCGGTCGGCACTGCAGATGAAGATGGAATGCGACCGGGGTCCATGCACCACCAGCCGCCGTCCATGGACCGCGCTGTTGACAGGGTGAGCCCTGTGCCGCCGACCCCGATGGCTCGCGCTCAGAACGAGCAGTCTGATCAGCGGGTCCAGTGTCAACTGCTTGGTGACACGCCAGCTACAGCGTGTCAAAGTATTGCCGGAGCGCAGTCTGGAAATGCGGGAGGGAGTAACCCGACTCGTCCACCCGATCAAGAGAACAACCCGGCAAACAGATCGCCCGATCGAAGCCATCGCACAAGACGATGGGTTGAAGCCAACACAAACTTCGCTCCTGTTCATGCCTCGCTGCCCAAGATACAGCTTGGGATGTTTGATGGGTCTCCGTTAGAGTGGCCCCGGTGGATCTCGCTCTTTCGAGCCCTGGTTCATGATAATGCGTCACTGACTGACACAGAGCGCATGATTCACCTCCAGTCGTTCCTGACGGGAGACGCTCGTGAAGCCGTGCGTGGTCTGCTCTGTGACATGTCGCTCTATGAAGTGGCGCTGAGCGAGCTGGAGACTCAATTTGGAAACCCGACTGCTGTCGTCCAGAGCACACTCAGCAGCATTCTTCAGCACCCGGTAGTGAAGCACAACGATATCGCTGGCCTGACAAGTCTGTCGCGAGCCCTGCACACGGCCGTGTGCGTACTAAAGAGCATGGGCTACCAAGCGGATTTGGCCGCGACCTCTTCAATGCAGCAGGTGATAGCCAAGCTACCAAGCACGCTGGCCTGGCAGTGGGGCCAGTTAGAGTTGGAAATGATGCCACACGTACCCACTCTGGAGGACATTGATTCTTGGCTCGGGAAAGTAGTGCTGGCGGGCCGCCGCGTTCAGCCTGCGCTCTGCTCAAGGGTACAGGACAGTGTCGCCAGATCAGCGCATACACCGGCACCGCTGAACAGGCGCCGGGGCGACACAAGAGGGAACACAAGTTCAGCTCAGCGCACAACTTTAGCGACTGCTTCAGGAGCGGCTGTCAGTGCTGAATGTGTTGTGTGCCAAAGTGGCGCCCACGCACTCGCCGAATGCCCATCTTTTCTGGAGAAAACACCGGAGGAGCGCGGTCACATCGTGCGCAGTGGCCGTCGCTGTTTCCGATGTCTCAGTACTGGCCACTGGCTGAGCAAATGTTCGAGCAGGACAGTTTGTGGAGAGCGGGGCTGCAAGGGGAGACACCATCGCCTTCTCCATATACCGTCGGCGCAATCTCCTCATCCCGCACAAACAAGACCGACGGCGACGACAGACGCCCGTGACGTAATGGCAATGACGCAGACGGAGACGCATACAAGTCAGCGCACCTTGCTACAAATTGTTCCAATCCGGATTCATGGAACTGAAGGACGCTACAAGGATACCCTTGCACTGTTGGACTCCGGTGCCGATACGAGTCTGTGCGAGGAGCACGTGCTAAAGGAACTGGGGATTGACGGAGACAGGAGGGAGCTACAACTGGCCAATGTTGAAGGAAGCGGAGACAACAGACTCGCGATCAGAACGAGTCTACAAGTGTCCTCCTTGTCCCCAGGAAGTAACGCCAAGACGGTCACAGTACCAGAGGTGTTCTCCGTCGTCCGACTCAATGTGCGTCCTCAAAGCGTGGACTGGAAGCAAAGGAAGGCCTGGAAGCATCTGGATGACATAGTGATTCCAGACAACAATGGAAAGGCCGTTGAACTGCTGCTGGGGGCCAATGTTCTGGAGGCCATGCTGCAGCAGGAGGTCAGAGTCGGCAAGCCAGGACAACCAGTGGCAGTACGAACCCACTTCGGCTGGTGTCTGACCGGAAATGTGGCTCAGCTGGTGACCCATGGCCAGCGAGAGGTGATGCACATTTCCAAGCACCGCTCAGCTGATGACGAGCTGGTGACTATGCTGAAGGACTGGTGGTCAACGGAGGCATTTGGTACGGCGTACAACATGAAAGAGCCGACATCACAGGAAGACCGGCGAGCTGAAGACATCATGGCAAGGACTACCACGTGGCGCGGCGATCGCTACGAGACAGGGCTGCTGTGGTGTGATGAAAATGTCAAGCTGCCTGACAACTACCCCATGGCCATGCGCCGGCTGGAAAACACAGAGAGGGCTCTGCGCCGAGCTCCTGAGAAAGCGACAGCGTACCAACAGAGTATGGAGGAAAATGTGAAGAAAGGATATGCGCGGAAGCTTGATGATGAGGAACTGCTGGTACAACATGACCGCACCTGGTATTTGCCTCATCACGCAGTCACCAGCAAGCCAGGCAAATTCCGCGTGGTCTTCGACGCAGCGAGCAGCTATGGAGGTAGCTCTCTCAACGGGCATCTGCTGTCTGGACCGGACCTCCTAAGATCCCTCCCAGGGGTGCTGCTACGTTTCCGTCTAGGTTCCGTTGGTCTCTGCGCCGACATAGAGAAGATGTTCATGCAGGTGGCTGTGAGAGCTGAGGACCAGGCCTCACTCCGCTATCTCTGGCGCGATCTGGATAGCACCCGTCCGCCAGATATATACCAAATGGACAGGGTAATATTCGGCGCTCGGAGCTCTCCAGCATCAGCCAGCTATGTACTACGCCGAACAGCCCAGGAGAAGAGTGATGACACTGTAGCTGGACGCAGAGCACGTGAAATTGTCGAAAGAGACTTCTATATGGACGATTTGGCCACCTCTGAACCAGACAACGATACAGCACAAGAAACGGCGGCAGAGGTGACGGCGCTGCTCTCCAGGGGAGGCTTCAGACTCTGCAAATGGAACAGCAACTCCAGGGAGGTGCTTGCGAGAATTTCGATTGAAGACAGAGCAGTTGGTGCCGTAGATCTAAGCGCGTCACTCCCGACACAGAAGGTCCTGGGTGTGCAGTGGGATGCAGAGCTAGATGAGCTGAGTCCCAGTGCTCCGTCAGTCACGAATGTCGGGCCGACAGCACCAACTACAAGGCGCGAGATCCTACGGGTTATCGCTGGTATTTTTGACCCACTGGGGCTGGCGAGCCCTTTCCTGGTCATGGGGAAGATGATACTGCAGACACTCTGGTCGACTGAACACACCTGGGACAGCCCTCTCTCTGACGAGGAGTGCAGCGAAGTGGCAGCTTGGATCTCAGAGTTGCAGTCAATAGAGAAGATTCGAGTCCCAAGATGCTACGCGTATCAGCAACACACCAAGAAAACAGTCACGAAGACGTTACACGTCTTCTGTGACGCCTCTGAGCGAGCCTTTGGGGCAGTCGCTTACCTCAGGCACGAATATGCAGACGGTGCTATCCACTGCTCCTTGATTATGAGCCGATGTAGGGTGGCGCCGCTAAAAAGGTTGACGATCGTCCGCCTAGAGATGCAAGCGGCGGTGCTGGCTGTGCGCTTGGCGGCCCAAGTAGCTCAGGAGCTGAACTTGAATGAAAGTGACACGGTCTTTTGGAGCGACAGCA